ATCCAAACAAGTTAATGAGGTTGGCTGAGTCTGGCCAGGTTGTTAAAACCAGGTACCTAAATCAAGCTCAACAAAGGACTATTTCAGTAACCCCAGGCTATGAAATCAACATAGAAAACACCCAGTAGGATTACGGGACTGTGCCTGGGCCATGGAGTTCAGGGTAAATGTCGGGCTGGGCCTGGGCCTGGGCCAGGGTCTGAGCCTGGAGGTTGGGCTGCGGCTGGGGATGGGGCTGGGCCTGGTACATGAAGTTGGGGATAACGCTAGCGCTGGACCTAGACCTGGGCCTGGGCCATGGAGTTGGGGGTAAAGCAAGGGCTGAGGCTGGGGCTGGGGCTGGGGCTAGGACATGGAGTTGGAGGTAAATCTAGGGCTGGGCCTAGGCCTCGGCCTGGGCCTGGGACATGGAGTTGGAGGTAAATTTAGGGCTGGGCCAGGTCCTGGGACTTGGAGTTGGGGGTAAAGCTAGGGCTGGGCCTGGGACATGGCAGTGGGGGTAAAACAGGGGCTAGGGCTGCGCCTTGGCCTCAGCCTGAGTCTGGGAAAAGGACTTGGGGGTAAAGTTGTGGCTGGACCTGGAGCTGGGACACGGAGTTGGGGGTAAAGCTAGGTTTGGGCCAGGGCCTGGGCCTAGGACATGGAGTTTGGGTTAAAGCTATGGCTGGAGCTGGAGCTGGGGCTGGGCGGGGTCTGAGACATGGAGTTGGGGCTAAAGCTATGTCTGGGCCTAGGTCTGTCCTGGGCCATGGACATGGATTTGGAGGTAAAGCTATGGCTAGTGCTGGTGCTTGGCCTGGGTCTGGGCCTGAGTCTGGGCCTGAGACTTGGAGTTGGGGGTAATGCAAAGGCTGGGCCTGGGTTTGGGGCTGGGGCTGGGACATGGAGTTGGCATTAAATCTAGGCCTGGGTCTGCACCTGGGACATGCAGTTGTGGGTAAATCTGAGGCTAGGCCTGGGCCTGGGCCTGGGCCTGGGCCTGTGACATGGAGTTCAGGCAAAGCTGGGGCTGGGCCTAGGCCCAGGACATGGAGTTAGGGGTAAAGCTAGGTCTAGGGCTGGGCATGGGTCAACGGCTGGGGTTGGGGCTGGAACATGGAGTTGGGGGTAAATCTGGGGCTGTTGCTGGCAGTGGACCTGAGCCTGGGACATGGAGTTGGGGGTAAAGCTAGGGCTGGTGCTGGGGCTGGTGCTGGTACTGGTCATAGGCCTGAATCTGGGACATGGAGCTGGGGTAAAACTGGGCCTGGGCCTGGGCCTGGGTCACGGAGTTTGGGGTAAAGCTGGAGATTAGGCTGGAGCTAGGCCTGGCCCTGAAGATTGAGGCCAGAGAATTATAGGCAGGTGACCAAGAACACATGGACTATGGCAGGAAGTTATAGCCAGTCTGGTAAGGCTGGGATTTTTAGGCAAAGTCATGAAGACTAGGCAAGTAGGGCAAGGAGGTTAATAATACCAGATGGATACTATCAAGTTCATCATACCGTGAGGATAAAATAAGGTGATAAATGCAAACAGGTTAATGAGGTTGGCTGAGTTTGGCCAGGTTGTTAAAACCAGGTATGTAAATCGAGCCCAATAAAGGACTATTTCAGTAACCCCAGGCCGTGAAATCAACAAAGAAAACATCCAGTAGGATTAAGGGCCTGGACCTGGGCCATGGAGTTGGGGGTAAAGCTCGGGCTGGGCCTGGGCTGGGGCTGGGGCTAGAGTTCAGCCTGGGCCTGGGCCTGGGCTTGGGACATGGAGTTGGGAGTAAAGTTAGGGCTGGGGCTGCAGCTGTGACATGTAGTTTAGGGTAAAGCTGGTGATGGGGCCGGGGCATGGCCTAGGCCTTGCCTGGGCCTGGAGATTGAGGCCAGTAAGTTACAACCAGGTGAGTAAGAACAAGTAGACATTGGCAGGACGTTATGGCCAGTCCGATAAGCCAGGATATTTAGGCAAATTTATGAAGACTGGATGAGTAGGGCAAGGAGGTTAATAAGGCCAGATGGATAACATCAAGTTCCTCATACTATGAGGATAAAGTAAGGTGATGAATGCAAACAGGTTAATAAGGCTGGCTGAGTTTGGCTGGGTTGTTAAAACCAGGTTAACTAAATCCAGCTCAATAAAGGACTATTTCGGTAACACCAGGCTGTGAAATCAACATGGAAAACACACAGTAGGATTAAGGACCTGGGCCTGGGCCATGGAATTTGGGGTAAAACTCGGGCTGGTCATGGGCCTAGGGCTGGGCCTGGCCTGGGACACGGAGCTGGGGGTAAAGCTGGGCCTGGGCTGAGGATTTGGGAGTAAAGCTGGGTCTGGAGCTAGGGCTGGGACTAGGGCTGGGCCTGGGCCATGGAGTTGGGGGTAATCTAGGGCTCGGGCTCGGGCTTAGGCTGGGCCTGGGCCTGGGCCTGGGCTTGGGCCACGGTATTGGGGTTAAAGCTGGGGCTGGGCCTGGGCCTGGGACATCAAGTTGGGCATAAAGCTGGGGCTGGGCCTGGACCTGGCCCGGGACTGGGACATGGAGTTGGGGGTAAAGCTGGGGCTAGGTTGCACCTTAGCCTTGGCCTTAGCCTGGAAAAAGAGTTGGGGGTAAAGTTAGGGCTGGGCCTGGAGCTGGATACGGAGTTCAGGGTAAAGCTAGGGCCTAGGACAGGGACAGGGACATGGGACAGGGACATGGAGTTGTGGGTAACTCTAGGGCTGGATCTGAGCCTATACCTGGCCCTGGGGCTCGGCCTGGGCCTCGGACATAGATTTGGAGGTAAAGCTATGGTTGGGGCTGGGCCTGGGCCTGGGCCTGGGATAGGAAGTTGTGGGTACAGCTGGGGCTGAGGCTGGGTCTGAGTCTTGGCCTGGGCCTGGGACATGGAGTTCGGGGTAAAGCTGGTGCTGGGCCTCGGACATAGAGTTGGAGGTAAAGCTACAGCTAGGGCTGCGGCTGGCCCTCAGATATGGTGTTGGGGGTACAGCTAGGGCTGGGCCTGAGTCTTGGCCTGGGCCTTGGACATGGAGTTGCGGGTAATGCTAGGGTAGGGGCTGGGCCTGGGCCTGGGCCTGGGACATGGAGTTGCGGGTAAAGCTGGGGCTGGGGCTGGGCCTGGCCCTGGGTCTAGGACATGGATTGGGGAGGAAAGTTGGTGCTGGGCCTGGGCACACACCATTGAGTTGGGGTTAAAGCTAGGCCTGTGCTTGGGACATGGAGTTTAGGGGTAAAGCTGGCGCTGGGCCTATGGCTGGAGCTAGAACATGGAGTTGGGAGTAAAGCTATGAAAAAAGGACAGGGTAATAATGACACCAGGGGACAAAACCTACTGAGGTAAACCTAGCGGCTTGTGGTCTATTAGCTAAAACCGAAAGGCTAAGGATTGTTGCGAAAACCAAGTGTGGAGGCCATGTGGTCACTGTGATCAGTAAGACTAGCTGGAAAAACTAGCTGGCTAATGAAGGTTATTAAGGCCATGAAGTTAAGACCCAGAGGGTCAGCCCAACTGGGGAAGACTAATGGGCTCTGACCAGGGCTGGAAAATGAGGTTGATAAGGCAAGAAGGCAAGGGCAGGGGAGCAATGGCAGGAGCTTCATAAAGCAAGTGGGTAAATCTTAGTGGGTAAAATCAGCTGGGTCTTGATGGGAGATTGAGGCCACAGAATTATAACCAGGTGAGTAAGAACACATAGACAATGGCGGGAAGTTATGTCCAGTTGGGTAAGGACATGATTTTTAGGCAAAGTCATAATAAAGACTTGATGAGTAGGGCCAGAAGTTAATAAGGCCAGATGCATAATGTCAAGTTCTTGGTACAATCAGGATAAAATAAAGTGATGAAGTCAATCAGATTAATGAGGTTAGCTGAGTTTGGCCAGGTTGTTAAAACTAGATGTCCAAATCCAGCTCAAAAAAGGACTATTTTAGTAACCCCAGGCTGAGAGATCAACAGGGGAAATGCCCAGTAGGATTAAGGGCAAATTGTGAAACCAGCCAAATGATGACCTGAGGCTACAGTAAGGGGAAGGCAAGGAGGTGAAGACCAGCTGAATAAAACCAGGTGGTAAACATCAGAAGGGTATACTGCCAGCAGATTAAGTCATGCTGGCTGATGCCAGGTGGTTCAATACATCAGGTAAGTTTGGTTATAAGACTAATGAGGTTAGGTGAAGAAGACATAGTGAGAAGGCCAGGAGGTGAACAAGGCCAAGGGGGAAAGGCCAGGTCAATAAGGCCGTGTTATAACATCAAAGGTGAATGCTGTGAAAGAGGACAGAAGTTAAGGCCAGTAAGACTGGGAGAGGTGTTTAAGAGTAATTGTGGGCAGGGACCAGTGGCTCGGGCCTGTAATACCAGCACTTCGGAAGGTGAGCGGATTACTTGAGGTCAGGATATCGAGACCAGGCTGGCCAACACAGTGAAACCCTGTCTCTACTAGACATACAAAAATTAGCCATAAATAGTGCTACACACTTGTAATCCCAGCTACTCTGGAGGCTGAGATATAAGAATCGCTTCAGTACAGGAAGGGGAGGTTGCAGTGAGCTGAAATCATGCTACCACATTCCAGTCTAGGGAACAGAGCAAGACACCATCTCAAAAAAACTGTGACGATAACAGGGTAAGGCTTGGTTGGTAAGATCAGTTGGGCTATTCTGGTTGTTAAGGACAAGAGGGGTAAAGGCCAGGTGTGTAAGCCAGGTGCATAAGTTCAGGGGATTGCTACTGAATAAGTAAGCCCAGGAGGTTCACAAGGCATTTGGGTGAATCTAAGTTGGTTAAAAACTGAGGTTAAGACCAGGCCAGGAAGCCAAGCAATTGAACGGGCTGGGTGGGTAACGCTAGTAAGTTAAGGCCTCCTTAACTACTAGGTGGCCGCCTTCACTGGACTTATCCCCCTGATAAAAGGTCAAAGCTAGGCAGATTAGGTCAGGCTGTTAAAGTCATGCAAGTTAGAATGAAAGGTTAAGGCCAGGTGGGAATGCCAGGTTAGTAAGCTATCTTGGTCATCCAGGTTGGTGAGGTAAGTTCAGGTGACTCATGCAAGGTATCTTAAGTCCAAGGGTTGGGGAGCAATGGGAAATCCAGAGAATAGAAGCAGGGGGATATGTCCAGAGAAGTACACCTAGGGAGGTAAATCCATTGATTTAAGTCCCAGTAGATGAAACCAGAAGGCCAAGGACAATTGTGTTAACCAAGTGTGAAGGCCATGTGGGTCATGTGTGGTTGGTAAGACTAGGTGGAAAAGCTAGGTGGCGAATCCAGGTTAAGGCCATGAGGTTAAGGCGCATAAGGATTAGACCAGGTGGGGAAGCTAATGGGGGATGTCCAGGGCCCGAAGATGAGGTAAGACCACGGATTAATGCCAGCGCAGTAAGGCCTCACAGGCAAGATCATGTGGGTCTTGACCAGAAATCGAGGCCAGAAAATTGAAGCCAGGTGGGCAAGAACAGGTGGATAATGATGAGTGGGAAATAATAGCCAGGTGGGTAAGGGAAAGAGTTTTAGACCAGGAAATTAAGACTTATCAGAATGTCCAGGAGGTTAATAAAGCGAGCTAGATAAATACCATATTCCTAGTATCAGGAAGGGGAGATATGGTGATGAAGCCAATGAGCTTAGGAGATTCTGCTGAGTGCAGTCAGGTTGTTAAAACCAGGTGTTAGATCCAGCTGAATAGAAGACTATTCCCAGGCTGGGAAATCAATAAGAGAAACATCCAGTTGGATTAAGCATAATTCTCCAACCCAGACAAATGATGGCCCAAGGCTAACATTAGGTGGGCAAGAAGTGTGGGGAAGGCGACAAGGAAGGTGACGGCCAGCAGAATAAAACTAGGTGGTGAACACCAGGTAAGCATAAGGCCAGTAGATTACATCTTGCTGGCTAAGGCCAAGCATGTGAAGAGGGCAGGTGAGTATGGCCCTAAGGTTAATGAGGTCAGGTGGGGAAGGCCTACTGGGTAATGTTAGGCAAATTCAGCCACCGGGAGTGCCACCAGGTGAAGACCCCAAGAAAGGAAAGCCAAGGGCTGGGACAGAGAGTAATAACACCAGGAAAAGGACAGTAGGGCTGAGACAGTTGAGGAAGACTAGAAGTTTGAGACTAATCTTAAAGGCCAACTGGGTAAACTGGAGAGGGAAGATCAGCTGGGCGATTCGGGTTGGTAAGGATGGGTCATTAACAGCACAAGGGTAAGGGCAGGTGGGTTTGCTAGGTACATAAGGCCAGGAGATTCATACTGGATGAGTAAGGCCAGGGGGTCCCTAAAACAGGTGGGTAAATCTAAGTTGCCAAAACTGTGAGGTTAAGACCGGGTCAAAAAGCCAAGTGATTGAAATGTCTGGGTGGCTTAGGCCAGTAAGTTAAGGTCTTCCTGAATAGAGCTAACTGGCCAACTCCACCTGGGTAATGCCAAGACGTTAATACTAGGCAAACTAGATGAGGAGCTTAAGGCCATGTGAGTTAGAATGAAAGGCTCAGGAGAGGTGGCCAGGCCAGGTTGGTGAGCTGTGTTGGTCATCCAGATTGGGAAGGTCATGAGGTTAAGGTCAGGTCAGTAATGCAAGATGTTTAATTACGGGGCTGGGACTGGGACTGGGGCTGGGGCTGGGGCATGGAGTTGAGGGTAGAACATGGGGGAAAAAGGGTAGGGAGAGGATGAAACCAGGAGAGAAAACCTAGGGAGTTAAATCCAGGTCCTTAAGGCTTGTTGGATTAAAAACTAAATAAATGAGTAAGGCATAGGAGAATCACGTAAACCAAGGCTGGGGCCATGTGGGTCACATATGATCAGTAAGACTAGTCGAGAAAATGAGCGGGCTAATTCAGGTTGTTAAGGTCATGAGGTTAAGGCACATAGTGTTAAGCCGGGGGGAAAGGCTAATGGGGTCTGGCCAGGGTTGTAACATGAGGTGGACAAGGCCAGGGAGCAAGGGCAGAAGAGCAGTGGCAAGAGCTTCATAAGGTGGGTGGGTCGATCTTAGCGGGTAAAATCAGCTGGGTTTTGAAGGGAGATTGAGGCCAGCAAATTACAACCAAGTGAATAAGAACAGGTAGACATGGTAGTAAGTTATGGCCAGTTGGGTTAAGGCTGGATTTTTAGGCAAAGTCACGAAGACTGGGTAAGAAAGGCCAGGAAGTTAATAAGGCCAGAGGGATAATGTCAACTCTAGGAACACATTTCGGAGGATGCCAGGGGACTACCGTACCTGTGAGGGGATCAGCTCCTCATCTTTAACTTCTACTTCTCAAGGGGGTGCTCCCTGTCTCTGAAGATTGGTCCGGGTGAGTATCTGTGAAGTTCTTAGTTCAGCACATGGCCATTTTTTCAAGTTAGTGCACCTCATCATGGTCTACTGGACTAAATCACCTGCACAGGACTAACTTACCTGTATGCTGGACAAACAAAATAGTAGCTGTCAAAGGACAGCTGCCTCTCACTTGTTCAGTGTCAAGGCCATGCCAGACATCAGGTCCCCTGCAGATCATTGTTCCCCATGACAAACCCATTTCATAACTCTGTAAGAGGGACATTTTGCTACTGACTTCTTTCATCATGACAACTTATGAATGAAGGAACACTTTGTAAACTGCACACAGTCAGGGACTGCAGGCGGGAGGTGTTCCCTGCCTTGGGTAGGGAATTGGCTTTATTCACTGGTGGAGATGGGTGGAGCCGAGGCTGCTCCTCATCCCTGTGGCAGCAGAACATGTAGAACATTCAGAAGACACCTCAGAAACGGGATCTGTTCACTGCCTGGTGCTGAGTCCTGCCTCAGTGGAACCCCAGCAAGTTGGGCCCCATCACAGAGGGACAATGCCTGAGGATGCAAGCACCCCCACATTCAGCCCAGGCAGGAATACAGTGATGCCTGCTGTTGTATTCACGTTTATAAATCCCATTATGTTGTTGCTCACAGCAATCAGTCGCAGCCCTGGAAGGAGGTCCTATTACTGCCATTTTAAAAAAAAACAACGCACAAGTGACCACAATTCTCATAACCCTGAAGTCGCATTCGTTGCCCACACAACAGGTGCAAACTCTTAAGCAAGAAAGAGACTGTGCAGAAAGGAGATGGTGCCCCGCCCACCTGCCTCCACTGCTCCCCCTCCAGCTACCCCTCCCAGCCACTCAACACCGTGGCCACAAGGGCCTGTGGTGACTGTGCCTGTGTGCTCAGTTCAGGAGACTCTTCCTCTGGGGATCCACAGGCCCCCAAGGAGGGCACTGATGAGAAAAGGGGTGAAGACAGTCCATTACTCTGGAAGGTCCCTGTGTGAAAGGAAAGTTGGGGTCAGCACGCAGGTGGAAGGGCAGCCAGGCTGGGCACAAACCCAGAATACCTCAGAGTGGCCTGTGGGAGCCTCCCACTTCTGCTCACCACTCCCAGCATGACTCTTCTCGCATTTTCTAATTTACTGTACACTTTACTTGCTCTTTATTGCCTATATCCCCCACTGAAGTATAAACTCTGTAAGGGAAGGAATTTTGCCTAAAAGTGCCAAAGCAAGTGCCCTTCAGTCTAAAGGGCCCCGGGGGTGGGGGTGGGAGTGGTGAGGGAGAGGCAAGCAGAGGATAGAAAAAACTTTTCCTTAAAGGGCTGCTCCATAAGTAATTCAGGTCCTCATCACAACTTCTCAGCTAAGCCACTTTGGCAGGAAAGCAGCCAAAGATGATCTTAAACAAATCAGTGTGGTTGAGTTTTAACATGAGATTAGCATTCCAATAAAGAACTACAGGTAAGAATAAGAGGTGGGGGGATCTGGCCACAGGCAGTGGCTTCCCAGCTGAAATGCCATTGATGCTCCAGCATTCAAGTAACAAAACACCAAGTTGGGGGCCAAATAAAAGTGTGGAAGAGGAAGTAGTAAGTATCATAATGACACAAAAATCTGAAAATGAGGCCACAGAACAAGAACATTACAACCAACCTCATTTGTAGATATTTGTTCCCAGGCACAATGAAAACATCTACTAATGATGGACTGGAAACAAAGCCACACATGGACAGGATAGAAATCTGCACATATTACTGGCCACACTGCCTCAGCAACGGACTTGATCAGGTTAATGCCCACGCTAACGGAACAAGTTTTTACCCACTGTACATCTCCGCTCCATAACCAGCACCATGATTAACTAGTCAAAGGGCAGAAGCACTGAGACAGGCCAAACACTGGGAGGCTGAGTCGGGCAGATCATTTGAGGTCAGAAATTTTGACAGCAGCCTGACCAACATGGCAAAACCCCGTCTCTACTAAAAACATAAAAATTAGCCGGGTGTGGTGCCGCATGCCTGTAGTTTCAGCTACTCGGGAGGCTGGGGCAGGACAATCGCTGAAACCTGGGAGACAGAGGTGGCGGTAAACTGAGATTGTGCTGCTGCCCTCCCTCCAGCCTGGGCCACAGAGTGAGGCTCCATGTCAAAAAAAGAAAAGAAAAATTTTGGACAGCCCTGGAAAGGAGACCGACAAACCCTGCAAACACAACTGTCTCATCAACGGGAACCTGATGCCAATGCCTCAGTTGTTTGTGCCCCACTGGAGCCCCTGGACCCCCTTGCCACAGCATTCAGATTCTCCTTGTGACAATAGTCTCTGCTTAACCCATTCTTGCAACGACTATGTAGGCACTTAGGACACTCCCTCAGACTTCAGAATGAATACATCCACAGACAAGAAGCATCTTTCTTCTATCTGGCCATGGACCCAGGCAGTTCCAACATGAGGCTCTTGGAGGGGAGATTTGCTCTGGGGCTCAGCTATGAGAGTCCCAGCCTAGAGTGGCCAGTAGCTCTTTTGGCACCTGAGGAAAGCAGGCCTCAAAGAAATCCCATTCCCGCAGGTAAAGTGTGAAGACCTCCAGGACGGCCCAACTATCCTGCCATCAGAATTCACGGCCTCATCTAAAGCCTTCCCCCTTTGTGAGAGCTGATCTACTGGTGGGCTGATCTACTGACTTGCTTCTAACTATAGGGTCTGGCAGAAGTAAGATCAGGTCTCAAGAAACAGATCATGACTTTTGTCTTACTGGTATGTGCTCACATTCTCTGAGGAAGCCAGCTACCATAATGTGAGCCACCCTATGGGGGGCACCGACATGGCAAGGAACAGAGGGAGACTCCAGCCACATGCCTACTACACACTGAATCCTGCCAGGAAACCTGGGGAGCTCAGAGGTGAAGCCCTACATAGACCAAAGGAACAGAATCAAGAGACCAGAAATAAAGCCACACATT